ATTGTATCTCGTGTTTATAATAATATGATCCAACACAATAACACTCATGTATAACTGGAGGGATTTTTCACCAACGCAACATGACCACGTCCTTCGATAACTATAATTCTGCTATTTTCTGTGTACCACTGAGAACTAAACCCAAAAAAATATAAAGCAATTGTATACTATCGAGTTCTCAATCAAAACAGTTCATCAACTTAATCATTTTTCCATCCATCATTTTTTTTTACGATTTGATATATATTTTTGCACCCAATATGATATTATTAATAATATATTCATATTATCACGGGTTCTTTCATCATCAATCATTATCATTGTCGCTTTTCCAGGTAATGTTATTTGCATTTTACGTTATATTAACATAATATTATATATGTATTTATATAGATATATGATGGTATGCACGATATTGCGTTTTACAGTAATATGTATTACACTTTTGAGTTTTTATTTTTAAACCGATGAATTCAACTTGAACGTCGATAAACGGAGTTTTCATGAATTCGTTCAATCATTATTTACAAATCCACGATTTGTCTCTAATATTACTAATGAAATATATTATTTTTTTTGACGTGGTTTTTTTAATATCTGTGATATGTGTTTATTACTATAAGATTTGTAAGTGCTTATCTTCCACATAAAATTTTATTTTTTATTAAATATTGGTATCATCGATGAAATATTTAGTTTACTTAATTAATTTTTGGTTATATATTATTATTTGCATTTTTAATATAAATCAATAAAGGTTAAAATCCATTGAATAATTGGATTATAAGAAAAGAAGGATGGATACAATGAGAGCAATTATGGCAATCATCTCCCTATGGTCTTTAGAAGAATGTAATTTATATCTTGATGATTTTTGTTTTTAATATATTTTTTATGTGTCTCATTTTATAAAAACTAATATTTTAATTCTTTAATGTTTTGTTTTTCGTATTTCGTTATGATTTAATTTATAGAGTTAATGTTTAATATAAGCTGTTCCTCGTATTAAAGACAAATTCGTAGAAAATAAAAAACAATTATACAAAACTTTTATTACATAAAAGCGTGTGTTTCATCATAATATATTGTGACTATAGAAGAATCTACACATTTTGTTAGATTTTCAACACCTTTATTACTTATTCTAATATGTCACAAGAGAAATCTTTAATGATTAAGTTTACTATATATTTGAAGTATGTTTAAGAAATTAAAAAATAGTGAGAACTTTAACTTTAATTATTTAAACTCAACTTCATAATTTTCTGATTAAGATTTACTAAAAATTCAAGTAGGTATATATCATTAAGCTTCATATTTTAAAATTATCCGATTTTAATGTTATTTATTATTGTTTACAGTTAATATGAACAATTTGATATAAAGTTTATGTTAAATTGAATAATTAAACCTTATTGCATGGTATAAATTAATCATAAATATTAAGATTTTTAATCTTACTCTAATTATCACATATTAAGTATCAAAACGTTTCTAACAGTTTCTAACGGTAGGAATTATTCATTCGTATATATCAAGTTCGTTGTTAAACAACTAAAACTAACATATTATGTTGCCGAGAATGTCTTAATCGGAAATATACCCAGAGAACTTGCTTTCTGTAATTAGTACTGCATGTTATCTCATTGACGCGCATGTTTTGGCTAGGATTATCATAATAATATAATATTAAACGTTCATTATCTGGCATACGGTATATGCTCCAACAATATAGATATAGTGACATCCATCTGACAAAGTGTATTGTGAACGAGCCATTGTACAATAAAATATTATAATTACTAGAGGTGGGCAGATCCTGGAACCGATACTAGTGGTATCAGTTTTTTATCAAAAGCGAAATTTGAATTGGTATCGCAAAAAAATAATCACCAACATTAAATAATATTTTATTATCACCAAATATGGATAGTAAAAATAATTTAATACTGTCAAATATATAAATAACTGAATTTATAGTTATTTATTTATTAATTTTAATTTTCATATTTGTTGAATCTTTTATTACTTAAAATTAACATAATTAATTATTAGTTATTATTATGCTAGTTAATTTTTTAATTATATTACATTTTTTTGATTTTTAAAATTGTTTAATTTTTTAAATCTTAAAAAGAGTAAAATTTGTTGTTTTTATTTTTAATTCTTATTTTATCTTCTTTTTATAGATGAAATGGTATTGGTATTATTTTTAATTTTGGTTTTAATTTTATTGTTTAAACTTAAAAAGAACATTGTTATTCAATTTCATTTTAAATTAATTTTTTTTTTTTATTTCAAATATTTCAGTAAAAAAAAAAAAAAAAAACTGTTAAAAGACTGATAAGTAAAACATATTTAGTCTTTCATTTGTATATTTTTTGTATATTATTTAGATACTTGTTTAATTTGATATCTATATCATAATAGTTTATTTAAAAAAAAGTTGCATACTTACAAATAAAAACGATTGCTTATATTATTTAACATCGTTTTTATCGGGTGTTGGTTTGCAGTATTAGTTCATGATATTTACCGATAAAGTTGATTTAATATACATCTACTATTGGTTTTATATTGGTTGCATATAGCGTAATCTGGAGTATCAATAACAAATGGTATCATTCCATCAATAATAATTACACTATTTAATATACATACATACATTATATATTACTTCTATATACTATACATTTTCTTCTTATTATTCTAGCATTGAATACTTTTTTTATATTACCTATCTTAATGATATACAAAATAAAAGAAAATTTAAAAAAATGTATCGATACAATATTGAAAAAACCTTATGGCTTAACAGCTTCAATATTTGTGTTAGGTTCCTGTTTTATTACTAATTTTTATAATTTTATCAAACTAATTTGTATACACAAGCGTATTTTCATAATAAAAATTAACTTTTTCCAGGTTTATAAATTGTATGGGCTATATTTTAAAATTTGAATGATTTTCTGCATTTTTTTGACTGTGAAAATTATTTTGACCAGTTTGAATACTCCGATCATCATCAAAGTAAAAGAGTATAAGTTAAAAATAGGAAATAAGTTCTAGTTGGTACTTTGGGGTGGCTCTTATTTGCCAACTTCCCAACAGTTTTCTTTTTAATTATTAATAGCCAACGAGCATTTATATAAATAAAACGACAAATGTGCAGTATACTGGTTTTCGAAAAAATAAAATTTTTGTTTTCACCATAACTAAAAAAAAAAAATAATCTTACAGATGAAATAAATCAAATACTTACATCACCATTTTTTATATATGGAATCATTTTGAATAGAATTTCTTTGAACTATTTATAAGAAATTATATACAATTATGGATTCTTACATATATATGATTGATGAAAAAAAAAAATGAGCTTGATAAAGAAAGAATAAAAATACGATTGTATGATATTATAAATAATAAATATATGAAGATTTGATATGAAAAATTAATCAAGATAAAATGTTACAAGGGTTTAAATAATACATTTTGACAAAGGGATAAATATTACAAAAATATGTTAAATTGTTCTTAAAAATTTAAGTTTTAAACTTGAGGCTACAAGATGTTTTATATGATTTTCTTTGTTGCCAAAAATAAAAAACAAAATTACCGGAACGTTACAAAAATGATTTATAAGATATATATATAAATTATGTTGTATAGGAGACTAGAGTCCATTTTAAAATTCGAGAAACCAGTTAAATAACTCGGAGTTCGATGTATATCTAAGGTATGTATCTCATATGAAGTTGAGAGCACAATTGTAGAGCGAATGCAGCGTTAGGAGTGCGATTTGTGTACCGTTGAAAGACAATAATAATTTATCAGAACGGATAAAACCGAAAACTGTAGGTTTCAAAAAACTCATCTCATTATGATAATGACGACTCCGAAACAATCATTATGTTTCATTTAAATTTATTTTTATTTTTACAATAGACTGATATCATGTCCTAACCTGTGTTCGTATATTTTTTTATAGTAAATATGTATAAATATATATATATTATTTATATATCATCATAATGTATAGGTGGCGACCGCCCGCGAAACAATCGCGCTGGAGCTCGTCAGCGCACATAAATACGTATCGAAAGCACGCCGCTGCGATAACGGTGACGTATTTGTTTTGACGATGTGGTTGGCGAAGAAGAACAGCGAACGGAAGGGGTGAAGGGATGGAACGAAATGTATACCGCCGCCCGCCACCGGGATCTGTGGGGTGGCGGTGCGCTTTTGGCGCGCGCTGTATGTGATCTGATGATAAACGACGGTATTACGCGAGAGCCCCACTACGGAGACCCTTTGGCAGCGTGAATGTCGTCGGCCCTCGATCGCTGAGCGTTCGCCACGCGAGCTTTGCGAAGCTCGGTCCGCAAGACACTGACGACGGTTGCAGTGGCGGCGGCGGTAACGGCGAGGACGTTGCGTGTGCACGCGTGCTTGGGTCGAGTGAAGGTAGGGCGATCGCTCGCGCGGAGCTTCGAGGGGTGCGCTACGGTCGGGCTGACCCAAGAGGGGCGTTTCTACGGCGGGACGGGCGCGCGGGTCGTACGCAAACCGTAGTATGGCCCTTCGTCGTCGTCGTCGTCGTTGTCGCCGCCGCCGCCGTCGTAGTCATCGTCGTAGCCGTAAGGGCCGCCCTTGCCGTCGCTCTAACAACGCGGTGCATTATACGCACGTCGTCCCGTTTCTCCCAGCCGTCTGTCCCTCACACCTCCCGTCACTGGAATCCCGTCCGCTTCACCCCGCCCACCGCTGCCGATCCGCCGATGTTTTCACGGTAGTAAGTCCACACGCGCGTGTGTATACACACCGACCTCCCTGCCGCCGGTCCGTAGGTTGTTCGCGTCCCACTTGCCCCGCTGCCGCCACTGGCGTCGCGCCCTCGGTCGTCGGCCGGCGCCGCGACGCCTCGGCCGCCACCGACGCCGCCGCCGCCGCCGCGCTGTCGTGTTCGCCGGTCGACGGGCAGCAGTACGATCATCGCGTTGACGACCACGAGACCGTCACGTCCTCGGCTCGGTCGCGCCCGTCCGTCCGTCTAACCGGCTCGTGTGTCCATCGCAGCGAAGCACGCGTGTCCGCGAACGGCAATCGGTCCCCGCGGTCGTCGAACGACTCGTCCGCCTCGCCGCATCTTCGTTCCCGTCGTCAAACACGTCCGTCATCCAGTCGCGTAATTTTCGCCGTGATCGATTCGCCCGACGTAACCGCCACGGGTATCACCATCGTACCGGTAGAAACCGGGAGGCAAGGCGGCACGGTGACCGTTCGGCCGACGACGGTAATATTACCCCGCGAATGACGACACTTCCGGTTCATCTGGTAACGACGGTACCGTTTCGGGCCTGTTTTGCCGTACCACAACACACGTGAGTATACAACATCCGAGACCTTCGTAATGTATAACCGTTGCGGGGGATTAGCGGTTTTTCGTTTTTGTTTTTTTTTTTTTCCCCCTTCCCGTTCGGTTTTTTCGCCGATCATTAGCGCGGCTTTTCCCGCCATTATTCGCACGCAACGTGCCCGCGCCCAATCCGCGCGGCCGGTCGCTCAACCACGCGCTTCTCGAGTCGGTCCGTAACGACATTCCCAAGTACGCGCCTGCGGGAAACGTGCGCCGTTGTCCGTTACACGCCTAACGGCCAGTGCCGAAGTCCAACCGTAAAAACGGGGCAGGTCCTTTCCGTCGAACGATTATGAAAAATAAGAGACTGATCGATTTACTTAATCGCGTGCTCGTGCAGGGGTTTTTTACGTTTCGCTCAGGATTACAACGCGCCGGAACGAACGGACGATCGTTACGTTTTAAAATTATTTTTTCTCACAACCACATCGCAACCGCATTGCATTATCAACAATCAACCATGACGAATCATGAAATATTGTTTTAAGTCGTCAAATAAACTTATGAATCTCCCTCTGAGGCACCTTAAAAAATGCTCAGCCTCGAAACCGAGACGAACTGCACCCTCTGCCCCATTGCTAATTTTGACATTGCGTACACCTACCTATTACAGTCCACCCCGATGATAACAACAATAATTGCAACTATAAATGCCCGGTTACGTTATTTGTTGTCTTAACAATTTGCAGGTAACGCAGATAAAAAATAATCTACCAAGCACGCATTCGCAACGTGAATAATTGCAATAAAAATTATAAAATGTATACATAAACATTGCCGGCCGTTGGATAAAAACTTATTGACCGGCGGTTCTAACGGTATTACATTATGTTCCAATCGATGTTTTTGATATTTTTAGCATTTTAATATTGTCAAATATCTATTGTTTAAATGCGTGTTGTTCGTTTCAAACTAACGAACGCAACAATGGTTTGCCGTAACTTAACATACACCGATTATATCAATAAGTTTATTTATACGGTATAATGCGTTATCCAAACACTATTCCGGTGCATAGTTTTTATTTTATATTATTAGAATTAGTAACGGTGCGTATTACGTAATAGAAAAATGGTAATTCCCTCCTCCTTGTTTTTTCAACGCTTTTCCATTAGGTATTAAACAAATAAGCTCAGGAATAGAAAGTTTCGTGCTACTTTATGCTGCTTCTTTTTTCCAGCCAAGGCATTGAATATTATATAGTTATTGAAATCGTGTTCCCGAAAGCGTATAGAGGGTGGCCACAATGAATTGTGGAGATATAGAACGAAAATTAAATGTGATTCTCAGAGTACGACAAATCGGATAAATAAAATTAATTAACTACATAAAAAATTACAATACTCATACATAATGTTATAATGTCTGTTGATACTAGTGGCGTAAAATTTAGGTCTGGGAGTAGATATTTCAACAGCCCCTTCCTCATTCAGGTTAAACTTACTAAATTTATTTTATAATTTATTTATTTTTTTTAAATATTTCATATTATATTGTAACACGTCTTATCATAACGTTATAATTTAATTAATAAATAGATTAAAGTTATTAATTTGAAACTTCATTTATACATATAAAATAATCAGTATAAAAATTTGTAACATTTCAAAAAAAGGAAAGATCTTTTTCTCGGCTAATATCGATCGCTAAAGTAAAAATCATAATTTCTAGCGAACGAGTTTCTCCAAAAATCTCTTTTTCTATTAATATTAATAGGCGCAGTTGAAATTAGTACTGAAATTTGTGGTATAAATTACATGGCATTATTGATGCAAATTATTTACGATTTGGTTGTAAAAAAAAATGTTCAGTTTCTAGGAGGCATTTTTCTATAAGCTACTTACTTATTCGTCCAAATACATATATATATCGTGTTTATATTATTTTTCTTATTTGGGCGTAGATATTACGTCGACAAACTTTATTACAATAAATATTATACAGGCAATCACTTAACAATTGGTCTGCTAATAAAAATATTCTACGAATAAAAATCGACGTTTGTGACGATTAAAGTAATTTAGTTTTCATCGTAGTGTACGTATGAACATAATATTGAGTATAATTTCTATCTTCACATGTTATAGTATTTTTGAATTATATAAAATTCAAAAAAATATGAATATTAAGCATTTTCATTACTAAAAAATGTATAGACATAATGTTATCATTACATTGCACAATCATAAATTATATTTTGGCAAGTATTAATAAATTAACTAATGTTATATATGGATATTTTATCGTAAATATTAAATATCAGTTAAGGTTAATCCATAGCTACCATTTTCATTTTTATACTTTTTAAATAAGTGAAAAAGAAAATCTGAGGTTTAAATGCTCAATGAAAAATGCACATTAATGTTAAAATTAAAAGAACGTGATAGATGAGTGATCGTACTGTAGTAAGGTTTTGCTGATAGATTCTTAGAAATTTGTATAAAAGGTAATTTCGTATAAATAATAACTTAATAATTAGAGAATTTTACTTTTGGCTATAACGATTTAGAAAATAATAATAAAAAATAAAAAAAAGACAGTGTAATTTTGGTATTTGAAAGGAAAAAAATGTCATGAAAAATATTTTTATTAGATTATAAACATGATATAAGTTTGTTGTGTGTTCAATTTTTGTATATTTATGATATTCTATTTTAAGATTTATTTTATTAAATACATATAATCAAGATTAATTTAATTACGTTTTTAAAGTAATTGGATTATAAATACTGGTTAATTAATCATACATGATTACTCAATTTTCTAAATATGAAAATTTGGTTGATTGTGTTAAATTTCCTCCGTTGCAAAACGAATAACATGTATTCAATAATAGTAATGTATTTACGCGTAGCACACAATGCATATATTATTTAAGTTTTGCATATTATGATCAAGCTTATAGATATAACAAGTATAAAACTTCTGAGAGCATATTATTATATCCTACAAACATTTATATGTTTGAACTACAATGTAATGCTGAAGACAATTCATGATAATAATGTTCTCGATCTGTTAATAGTTTAAATTATTTGATAGTTAATTATAAAACAAAAAAAAATTGATTTATGTGAAATTTTATTTTGGTTTTCTCATAAATAATAATTTATTAATTTACTCATAAATTCATAAAATATATACCTGGAATAATGCATGATATTATGAGTTTATAACTTTTTGCTCCTAATGAATGAAAATAGGAATTTACAAAAAACGATGTTTAAATTCAAAAGAAAAAAAAACTCAAAACAATCACATTTAAAAAATATTAATTCTTATTTGCAATTCAATTAATGATTTCCATCAAATGTTTATCATATTAGATTTTATGTAATGGAATTACATTGGTTTTATCATGATGTGTTTTTTTTATCTCTGTACACACGAATTCGACCAAAAAAAATTTTTCCAATCATCACCAAATACAAATTTATAGATAAGAAATGAGTTCTAGTTAGTACGTTGGAAAAGGAGTCATTTTAAAAATCTTCCAACAGTCTTATTAATAACAGCCAAAAAATTTTCTACAATAAATGATATAAAAACCGCATGCTAGTTTTCGACAAAATCCAATTATTATTTTTATCTAAACTCAATAAATAATTACTGTAGATACTTAACATTTTCATTGAAAGCTTATATTATCATTTGAAGTATAATGTTTAGATATTGAGCAAAACATTTTTTTGAAAAAACATGAAATTTTTATCTACAGAAAGTTGAAATTCTCATGTTTTTTTAATTTTTTTTTTAAGGCTTGAAAATTGAAAAAAATAATTTTATTATAAATTTCTTAAAAAAATAAAATAATTGAAAATCACAAAAATATTTCATAAATGTAATATTATTTTCATAGAAACAGTATAAATTAAACGATATTAGTTACTTAGTTGTTATATGGTATTATATAAATATTAAACATAGCAACTTATTATTTATCGAGTTTTTTTTTAAATTTTAATGAAATTTCATTACTTAGAACTATTTTAATAGAATTTTTTATTTAAAGGTATTTGAAATTTTTGATTTTTCCAAAATTTTAGATGACTTTTTTTGCGAACGTTAAAATATTAAAAGTGCAACTTATCTTATTAGGAAAAATAGTTCTTTTACTACATTTTTTTTTAAACTGATCCACTCAACCTCTTTTATTTAGAATCACGTATTCAAGTTATATTGGTTTAAGCTTAAAAGACCAATATAAAAATATTATTCACCAGTCCCCATATCTTACCCAACCTAGAGGATTCACCCCTTTTTATTTAATAATATAGGTTTTTTAAACAATAATTATGTTTAAATGTATGCATAATTTATGGAATATGAATAAACATTTTATATAAAGAGTAAAATTATAATATTAAGTGACATAGTGTTTAATCTCAATTATATGTAATCCATTTTATATTTAACTACTTTATATATATATATACATATATATCAATAGTAAGTGTATTTTTTACATTGAAATCGTATTAATTTAATTAAAACTATTAAAATTAAATTAAATTAAAGTAAAATATCTTGTAAATAAAAAAAAATAAAAATATTCTTAATTTTCATTGAATGTTAGTTTGTATCATTAATGTTATTATAAAAATACGTGTGCCTATAAATATTTATCTAGAAATTACTAATTTAAAGTGGTGAGTAATGGTATTACTCTACTATTTTAAATAAATAAATGTGTTCTTAGAAGTCACTTTGCGTATGTCACATTTATATCATATTATATACACTTTTATATACCAGAAAAAATCTTACCTGTGTAATATAATTATTTTGGCTTTATTTTTTATATGTAATTTTATAATATGGGACTTTTTTTGTAGAAGTTTGTTCAACTAACTTCAACATGAAACGATTAGGTCCTTCGACTCATATGGTTATATATATATATATAAACCATCTTTAGATGAATTCTACCTTATTTTCTCAAAATAGTTTTTTCAAATTTATTTG